ACAAAGATGATTTTTTTTTCAAATTGCAAAATCAACAGTTAGTATTATCTTTGGACCAGTTGTTATCTGGTCTGTTTACTTTAGTTTTTCTTGTTTTCTTTACTAAAATGAAGTTTTATATTTTTATTGCATGATCAAGAGCTAGAACATACGTTCTCCTTCGTGAAATTAATTTCTTCCATTTGAGTGATAATTGCTCATGTTTACTTTAGTTCGTGAATATAATGAATACCAGGTATCAGAGCTACACTTTATAGCGTTCAAACAATTGTTGCTGCATTTAGGTAGGTTTTTATACGTTTCATCATACTGACCGAAATTTCTTGACTTGAAGGCAATGGAGTGTAATCTGATATCTGCCATTCGAAGGTCCAACCATGAAGTTCTTTTTATTATAGAGATAATGACATTCAGACCATTTGACAGTCTGTTTGTCTTTCAGTTTTTTAATATAGTACTTTAATAAAAAATAAAATTATCAAAACTATTGTAAAAAATTCCTGCCTTATGATTCGGTTAGAAAGGTGTGATTTACACCTCCCTGATTCAATCCAAAGCTATAGAAGCTCATAACGTTGCTACTTGTACAAAACTCAGATTTAGATAAGCTGTGTAGATTAGTTGCTAATTGATGTTCTGGTCTGGCATGTGCGATGTTCGGTTTTAATTTGCCCCTTATATTGTTCGTTGGCCCACGCTGAGTACTGTAGCAATTATTATGGATGCATGCAAATGAGACAACAAGCCGCATTATACTGACCCAATAGCCCGATATGATTTTTAAAACAAATGAATACCTCATTGCTGGCTCAACTGTGTAGCTATAGATCGTTTTCACTCACGTGAGAAGGCAGCCATAAACAATAGGAACTTTCTGCACAGTATTTGCATAAAAATAGAGTTCAATTCCCGGAGGATAGAAAATGTATTGTTTTGGTACCCATGATGGCCGCTGTGACGTCACGTGAAAACGCTCTATTGGTTCTACAGTTGCGGTATTTCTGGTAAGATGATAACAAATGACACTTGGTGACTCATTTCATTGAGGGTATTGTGAARCACTCAAACAATACTTTTCAGAGTTGTTTGTTCATTAAACACTTTGTTTGACTCTCCGGAACTTACTTGGTTATTACATTTATGGTTGGAGGG